AAACGCATGCACATAATATTATAAAACTATATTGCTGTTATCAAAATAATTGAGAGAAAATAAACTTATAATAAACCGAACACGCGTGGTTTGTACGTAGGTATATAGGAAGATACGGAGGTCGGTAATTGTACAAATTACTTTATGGTAGAGGTACAGGACGCACACCTCGCGTCGTGTATCAGTACATTATTACATTATTTTTTCGTATTTATTACAAAGTTTTAATTTCACAGATTTTTCATGCGTTATATTATTATATAATAAACCTATATATAGTGTACACTTAGGTGGCCTAACACGATCTATCCATTTCAAAGGCAATTATTAAGAATTTTGAAAACAAATATTGACACTTGTGCGAGTTGTGCCTATCGCGATTATTATATGCTTATAAACACAACAAAATAAAATATTAAAATTTTAAAAACAACAAGGTGACAATGTGTATAATTTATTATTATTTAAACTGACGAACATATTATTATTGAATACATAATAATATTTAAATATTAATATAAAAGTTAAACTAATATAATAAATACAACTAATAAACCGGATACCTGAATAATTTGTTCCAATTTTTAAATGTTAAAAAACAGAAATTCAATAAAATTTTGGACTTCAATAAATGGATCGTCATGATCTTATCGCTATATAACTACTGATAATATGATGACGAGCCGTTCCCATATATGTTTTGTACCACCATTTGTCCATTTAGCGAATTCCGTTATAAATTCTGAGTGTGAGTACCAGTTCTATGACAGACTTAATTGTACGTATATGGTTCACAGTAAGATGATTATGGCCAGTTTTTTCTAACCTGTCTGATTTAGTGATTTGTAACCATACCGACAATTTGAATAAAGAATAGTTCCTACCTTAAATTATGTTGTTTTTAATTGCCTACAAAATTGTAGACACAGTTCTATTGGGAACCTAAACCAAAAAGTCTACTGCATATAATCACATATTTATATAGCATAGTTATTATAACTACATAGTCGCTAAAGTGAAGGTGGTCAATGGTCATAATAATAACCAACAAGTACTCAATGTTTAAGATTCTGAATGAAACGATGAATGTATTGATTTTAAAATTATGTGTGTTTTTTTTATTTTTTATTAATTTTTTATTTTTTTTTGAGTCTGTCATCACCTTTTAGGACAGTAAAAATGCTTAGATTTTCTTCAACAGTATCTTTTCTGATAGGAAAGTGAATCTAGTTGGTACTTTTGGGGGTTAAAAGTAAAAATTTCACTGTAGTTTTTAAAAGCGCCGTGAAAAACAAAAGAAAAATTAAGGAAAAACGGGAATTTTTACACAAAATCTGTTTTCGAAAAAATCGATTTTGGTTTTTGGTGTAACTCTTAAACAAATTACCGTAGGTACATGAAATTTGGACTGCACTCAACGAAAAAAAAGTAATAATTGCTTATTATAATAATTAGGTTTTAGCTATAATAACACATATTTTAATTTCGTGGATTTTTGGTAGGCTAGTGGTTTTGGTAGGAAAATCGGTGGGTTATGATGGTTGCGATGGGTGTGATTTCGGTATTGTTACCTTTTCACATGTCGAAATCGGTCGATGGCACAATGTGAATTTAATGATTTGTTTCTTTTGTTTATTTATTGTTGTTGGTGTTTATTCCAACCGCGTCTGGTTTCTTGAACTCGCATGCTCCGCCGAAGTTATTATGACTATGAGAATGCACCTATAATACAGGGCAATACCTAGCTACAATAATAATAAGTAATACCTAGGTATATGGTGTTTATTAGCTATAGCATTATTATACTACGCTTGTTATTTGTTAATTATTATTATTGCCATTTAGAATATGTTTCTCCGTCTTTCGTGTATTGCTATGCAGGACAGGTATTATTATAGGTACTCCGCGTGTTTGCCCGTTGTATTATATTATTTGTAATTTTTACACTGCACAATGCCCACACGGGCACAGTATATAATATTATGTCGTTCAACCTAATGCATTATCCGAGAGCGTATTTTTGTGCAGCATCATATGATAATGTCGACGTCGTGGATTAAATTATTGAAATTTGTTTATTTGAACTTTGTTAAACGAATTTAAAGGTTGATAGACGTATAGTCAAATCCATTTCAAATAATAATTCCGTCATTGTCCGCAATAGTAGCAACTCAAATTTCGGGTACAATCTATTAATTGTTCGTGTTGTAACCAAATAAAAAAATATTATTTTATAGGTATACGTTACTTAATATAAAATAAACTTTCTCGGTAATTATTAAATTATTATCATACATTATAGCTAATAATATTACAATAATTTTTTTTAAGATTGCCAAACTTTTTATTACACTACAAAAAGGTTATGACCAGTATGGCTGAATGTGACATAAGTTCCGCCCAAAGCCAAGATAATATTCTGCCGCTTCTATACTTGGAAATATTTTCAGTAACATTAAAATTGCATTACTCATGTATAAATGATGTAATTAAAAGCAATGGATTGTTTTATAGTTTTAAACGATTATTGCGTTGTTGGTTTGTTTCGAATAATATAGTTCTATTAAAACTCTAAAGAATATATAATATTGTTGGCATATATTTTAATGCGACCCACACAATCTATATAGAAGATGATAATATTTTATGCATTAATTTATAATTTGAAAGTCCGATTTCATTATGACGCGTATAATATGGAAAACATTAAAATTAAAATGTATTAATCAATAGTTCTTAAAAAACGTTTTTGATTTGACTTTTAGTATTGAGGGATATGTTTTTCGGTTAAAAAATCTCGTTAAGAGAAAATGTTATTTACTTATATAAGGTATATAATCAATGTTTAAAAAAAGGGGCACCTATTTTTCTATTTGTTGCAGAAAATGAATAATTTAAAAATATGCACTCACACCAAAATGCAATAGTTACATGGGCGGCGTACATATACATATATATTATAATAATATAGGTAAGTAGTATATTATACATTATTCCGCTGTTCAGTCTGTGTTTATGTAGAACCAAAACTTACAAAACGGTAAACATGACTTGTTCCTGTTCCTGTATATTATATATATAGTATAAGTATATAATATATAGTAAAACTTATACGTTTACAAACTATTTATAAACACGTAATATATTATGAACGTATAGTTGCGCCCGCAGAGTCACACATTCATCATCGCCACCTAATAACCTCCCTTCGAACTAATTAATATTTAATACACAATCGAGTCGTTTATCCGTATACTGAAGGTATGTTTCAAAGTGTCTTTACATAGGCCGTATACCTATAGTTATCGCTCTCAACTGGATTCCGTGTATGGAAATTATAATCACACGTCGTCGTGTGACTCGACATGTTGATATTTTTAACGTGATATTTTTTCGCACACTTCTAGGTGTTTTTTTTACAGTGATTTTATATATTATGACAATAATATAGTTGTCGTTCGAATTAGGATTTATATGGTTGCGTGTGACGTCGGTACACGAGTGCATTTGAATTTTGTTGGTCCATATATTAGGTATAGGTAGGTATAATATATTGTACTATTATATGCTGTACGACCATCGCGAAATCTATTGCAGCGCTCGTTTTTTCGAATAATTTATTCGATTGTCACCGTCAGAATATCTGTTTTGGATTTTATTAAAACCGTCTTATCTTATAGGCGTATGCACTATCATAATGTGTTATATATAGCCATGCACCAGTGCTAAGTTCGAACTGAGATTTAAGAATATATTATCTACGTACATAATAATATTATAGTCTGTGGTTTTTCGCGTTGACATTTTATTACCGGGGAAAATCGTTGTTATTTTATTTATTTTAGTGGCACCCATACTAATAATTATAATGAGGTTATTTGTCATATAATAGGTATATTGTCATCAGTAAGTTTATGTTTCTCAACTAATAAATAAATAATAATAGTTACGAAAATGCGGTATTAACAATTATTATTACTATTAATTTTGTTTATTGATAAAAACATTATTATAGAAAGCCATGATATGATTTTAAATTATACAATTTATTAAAATATTTATATTATGGAGAAAGCCAGAGGATTTAATGCAGGAAATAATAGTGGTGATAACTAATATTGATTTTAATATTACAGGTATAAAATAATGTATAATGTATAAAATAGGTTAAACATTATATCACCCCTACAGTTTAATTTTTTAAATTTAAAATCTTTAGATCTAAACATAGCACAACATAGCACAACAACAAAAAATTATTGTTATTTTCTACTTTTGAAGATTACCTAAGGTTATTATTGACCACCGCATTACACAATAGTATACATATTACATATAGGCAGGTACATAATTTCTATTTGGACTATGAAAACAGGGGACAATAATAATATGATATTTTGCAATAAGCGTTGAAAAAACCCCTATAGGTTGTACCATTGATTAAATAAACATAATATAGTATATTTAATCAATCGTCGTACCTATACTACCTAGATTCTAGCTACTAGTACCTAGGTATATTACAATATAGGTTTATACCGACTAAACCAACCGATTATGAGCGCGGACCCGAATTGTCTGCGGCGGCACACCGACGTGCATCGACTGGTGCCGCGCTCTAACGGCCGTTATTGGTGGACGGTGGCGCGGGGACCGGCACCGGGTCAGTCCCGCCGACGACGTTATCGGTCCAGCAGTCAGTCGTTGTCTGTTCGGCTAACCGTCGCGCCGTCGTGTCCGCTCTCGTGTAGTGGTCTCGTCCGTTAAGTTATCGACGTGTTTCGTAATAAATTATAATATTATTATAATAATAATTATCCCTAGCCGGATCGCACCGCGTAACAATATTATAATCTGTACATTATCCAATAGTAACAGTCGTCGGTCGTGAAAAAAAAAATCGTGATTATATCGTCCGGGTTCGTCTTACGGTTGAGTTTGACGCGGTGAAATAGGATTTTTGAAAAGTTTTAACGACCCTGCGATCACCTGCGAAAACCATGACCGTTTCCCGCGGATTGCTGGCTCGCGCAGCCGTCGCCCTGTCTCCTGTTCTGCTGCTGCTGCTCCTGTTCCGCGGAACGACAGCGGCGGCGGTACAGGACTTGGTGTACGCCGACGAGGACTTGATGAAAGCTTCGCCACTCACGGTGGCCCAATGCCGTGCAGGATGTTTGCACAAGGTCAGTGATGTTATTTATTATATTAATATAAAATAGGTACCTCTATATGTATTGGTACACTCCTATGTTGGACTGTTGGAGTGTCGACGATGCACAGACATACAGAAATTTTCAAATATGTCTATATTCGAACATTTCTTTACCTATATATGAGGAGATGACAACTCTTCTTCCGCCTCCGCCGTTTTATTTCACTGTACCTCGATAAACCGTATAATATCGTAAATATATTTTTAAAAATTAAATAAACTATTGCGTTTTTTTAAATTGCAAATCGGTCAAGAACAGCGTTTTAAAATAATATTATGTTGCGTTAAATAGTGGTAAAAGGTGCACTCTTTGATGGTGGGATTCCTCAAACGATATACGCTTTTCGCTAAAATCGTCGAGGGTTATTCACCGTCGAGTACGTTACTTTTGATGAATCGTGGCTTTAAATGCATGCATGCATGCATGTGCACAATTCTTCAGAGAAATTAATAATTATTGTAATTTTGAATGTCTTACGATTACTACTTAATTTTTCTTTTGTACAGACTATTAGGTCTGTTGTATGGGTAAAATATTTACGTGTTTTTTCGAGGCACGATTGCGACAGACGTCGTGTGATAAGTACTTAGCAGATAGCTTTTATTCAGATTTTCAATTACAATGTAGAATACAGTAATCGGTAGGTAAGAAATTTTCATAAACTTTCAAAGGGTTTATTCGGTGTAATTGCATGTTTACAATATAACCGTATATAGGTAGATAGGTTGCATATTAGACCCCATTACACAATATACGAATTAAAAAGTAAATACTATATTATACGATATTACGATACACCATAAGTTTTCAGTGTTTAAATTATTAGACGGATAATTATAACACGGCGGAAAACGGTAAAATCAAGTTAAAAATATATTTAATGTAATATTTCATAATAGCAAAGTTGTTCTCGTGTGCTTTAATTAAAATAGCACTTTAATTTCTTTAACTTTGAATTTCATAAGTTCAATTAATATTTTCTTGTATACCTATTTCCGGATTAATAAACCACAGAAATCTAATTTGTATAGGTAATGAGTAGGTATTGACTGTCAAAATTTGATTTGAATATATTTTATCCATTTATTAATTTTAATATAAATTATATTATATTATATACTATATAAACATTAATTATATCTGTGATAAAGCACGTGTACCTATATATTTTTTATTTATTTGTATTATGTTTTTATTATTAGTTTTTTTTTTCGTTATCGAAAATTCCAACAGTCTTGCTCAAGACAATAATCCGACGTAATGCTACGATGAGGAATTATTTTCGAATCCTTAATTTTATTCTCGTCGCGTATCGTATTTTAACGTTTCATTCAAACACCTCACAGTAACCACAGAGAACAAAAAAGACATGTCTAATCGATTCACAATAATCACGTATTCGTTCATTATGCATGACAATTTGACTAATTTTCGGTATTTAAAAAGAAAGAAATGTTTTGGACATAAGACTAGAAGCTTAGTGAGCCTATTGCATCGTTTTTCGTTTGACGTTTTATGCCCTCGTAATTGTTTTGGATTATTTAAAATTTGTCTCTGTATTAGGTATACATCGTTACTGTACATATATACCGACGTTAGTGAAAAACACGAAATCTAGATTTTGTTTTCAAACACACGATATAATATTATTATTAAAACGTATTGCAACTATGACTACATATATTATGTACTTACTATTATATTATTATAACAATAGCCAACAATTACAATTTTTCTCCGCGTGATGACTGCATTTTCAAGTATACGTCATAACTAATTAATTGAGCGGTGGCGGATTTATTTACTCGTTCACGTGATGTTCTAAATACACATAATGTTTCGAACGAACTAGTGAAAATCATGTGCGTGAAAAATATTTGTATCGAGTATTATTAGAATATTATATTATGTAGTATTAATGTATTATTATATAAAGTAGTGTTGTAATCTGTAGAAGTTTGTAGAATTATTAGTAGTAGTAGTAGTAGTAGTAGTAGTAATAACAGCTATAGTACTATAGTCGCGAGCAAAGATTGTATCTCGTTTAATAACATATACTCTTTAACACCTATATATAGTGCCTTGTATATTATGTAGTGTTGTGGTTGGTGTCAGATATAAAAACCGCATACAAAAAAAACATAAAAACTGTCGGAGTTTTAGCGTATTTCGAGGAACGCATATGGCCCCGGATCCGTAATTATCAAAATTCGAACGGGAAAGATTTTTAATTTTTTTTTTTACCAAACAATGTAACTATATAAACCACTTGCAGTGTCTGAATCTTGAAAGCTCTATCTGCAATGTCTGCATCTGTTCGGAGAGCCTATAATATTATAATTATACATTTATCGTCATATAATTTTAAATTGTATAACATCATTCGATTGCAAAGTTTCCGGCACATATTTTCGTTGAAGATAATATTAATATTAATAAATTTATAGTATTCTTATGCCGCGCCAAAATTGCATTAACTATCGTTGTAGCCTATATATATATTAGAATTAATGTAGTTGAACAATCAAACTATTGAAGCCTAATAGTACCTATAGAAACATATATAACGTTTGTCGCGTTTATATTAGAAACTCAGATCACGTCTTAGCTATTGTTTAATGTTTTTGTTATAGAGGGCTAGATAAACAGATTTTTTATTAATTTTCATATTGCAGTTAAAGGTTATATAATAGTTGCTTTCGACTTAAAATCAAAACTTTAACGTTTTAATTATCACGTAGACCTATTTTTCATTGATTCCGTTTTAAACTTGGAGCGTGAATAGGTTGTACGACATGTGTATAAAGACGCTTGGTACTCTATATGACTAATGACTATATATATGCATAGCACAATGTATACATACGCAATGTGTATAGTTTTTATAATAATCGAATTAATCCTGTTTGTCGGTCGGTCGCATATGACACTGGTCGGTGACGCGTTTTGAAAAAAAAACAAAACTACGACGATGACAAAATCTTGGTTCACGACCGTCATCATCATCATAATAACAATAATAATAATAATAATAATATACTTATACAGATATATAATGAGATACGCTGGTTGTTCCCGCCCGTTCGCTGCACCCGAGAAAAATTACACTTGCGACACGTTGGCACCTACGCGTGGGTCCGTATAGAATAAAAAAGCTTTATCGGTGTGTGTAATATGCGTTTTCTCTCTCTCATTCTCAGCTCTCTCTCTCGCTGTCACTTTCCTTCTCTCTTTCTCTACCGCCCACCCACCCGCAATCGTTTGATTTTTCTCCCTCGTCGTCGTCGTTAAAAAGGCCCGTTGCAGGTGTGCGTAATGAATACAATATATACCTAATACGACGAGCATAATTAACGCGCTCTACCGCGCATATTATATACATCTCCAGCCCCGTATTTTACCTGTCGTACCTGTTTGCGAGTATTCCCGTGTGCGTGTGTACTTATCTCGGACGCGCGTCAACCACGCATAATGGATTATATACGCGCGCGATTCACTCCCGAGTCGTCTTGTGACCACGCGCCTGTCTCATACTCGCGCGGTGACCGGGTATACGGTATAATAATATAATATAATATAATGAATCAATTTACATGCACACGATGGACCTGACCGTTTCGGGATTCTTAAAATACTCTGCAGGAATAACACCGCTGGGTCGCGCCTACATTGTTTATTATTATTGTTTTTTTTTCTTAATTTTTACGACTCGCTGAGAAAAGATGTCGCGTCGCCGGGGTATATAATCGACCACGTCCCTATATTGTCAGAAAAACTCGGTTAATCATAATATTATGTTTGTGCTTTATAGTTATTAGTTACCTACACATAAATCCACTAAACATCGTACGGTTTTATTTTATTATATTTTTGGAATTTATGTATAGTACCTATCTATTCTATAATAATTATATATTCATGTGCTTCGAGGCGTTCAATCGTTGATTCAAACTTTTTTTTCATCGTATTCGACATGTTATTTTATTTTACGATATTTATGTATAGGTATCCAACCGATCATCTATCTACTCGTCATACCCGAATCAGTATACCTACTTTCGGCCACATTAAAATATATACTCTGTCACAGGATAAATCTATCACCTATACTATATATATTATATTAACGTATATTATGTAGTGCCTATTTCGTTGTTAACTATATATTTATTATGTTTATAGAGAAAATTTATTTTATAAGTGCGCACACAAATCAAAATGCGCGTGTATAAACAAGTGCTTAAAAAACTGATTGACGTAATAAATAATATATTTTGTCTGTAATCGGGAGTGCGCGGGGTGAAAAAGCTTTGGGCGATTTTCGGGATCAATATATAAATAAATTATTCCGACATAATGTTATCAAAAATTATTCAGAGCTGCCCGAAAAATGTGGAATAATAATAATATAACGTGAGCGCTTGGACCCAATAATTTCGTTTCACGAAAAAGAATATATCCCAAGGAAACCCACGCCGGCGCAGTATAATATTATTATATATGTATACGACGGAATGGATTTTTGTGTGTGGACACTGTTGTAGTATAAACGAAGAGCAATAAATCAGTTGGTTTTTTTTTTCGTCCGTATGTGCTGCATGTGTTGGGGAAACGTTTTTATTTTTTGTTTATTTTTTTTTTTTACTTTTCCTCTGCGTGCGTCAAAATTTGATTAACGTTTATCGGAGATAATGATACGACGCGGGCGCGGGACGACGAGTAGGGCTCTTGCCAATAAATTACAGTCTATACGGACGACGAGGAAGAGAACGCAGCCGTCGCGGTGGTGTTTTACGATCCGACGACGATTACGCGCTAGTTTCGGTCGGCCACGCGATATAATGTTTTTCCGATCACCTATAACCCCAGTGAAAACGGCCGCGACTCGGAGGTCCTCTCCCGCAGCATCTGGTCGTGCGCACTCGCGGGGTAAACATGTTTATAATAATAATATTATGATAATAATATTA